CACACACATACACACACACTCACACATACTGGGGTGTTTTCAGAGTGGCTCTAGCAGAGAGGTGGGGTAGAACAGCAGGGAGCTGTGCGGATGGGTGAAGTGCATGTATGCCTGCCTAGACGGGCCAGAAAAGCCAAACTTAAGAAATCTGCCTATGTACAGAACAAGTCAACTAAGGGGTTCTCATTACTCTACCGTCTCTGAATATCGTTATTTTTCAGGTTAGTTCTGAGTTTTGTTGCTTTTTGAACGGAGAGGAAAGCAAACCACAGGCTATTTTATTATGAGTCTTCAAAAGGGAGGGGGTAAAAACTAGTTATCAATGTTGTGCCTTTATTCTTTATGGAGACAAACAAAATTTAGCTTAAATACTCATGGGGGGTGGTTTGATTTTTTAAAAAACTAGAACTAGATTAAAACTGATGGTGAAGAGAAGAAAAAAGTTTTTTGTAGCTCAACAATTGAATATTTCTTGGCTCTTAAACATTTCAGTGAGTGTCATTCAAACGTGGACCATTTTTAAGCTTGACCTCTGACGAAGCTTTGTAAAATCTGGTGAGGTACTTTATGAGCAACCCAAAGAGAGGGTGACTTTGAAGTTTGAAAACTTAGAAAAATAATAAGGCATTTTAAAGCTACCGGTGGCCTTTATAGATGCCAAGTAAAGTTAAGAGGAGAGGAGGTTAGAAATAGTTGAAGAAAAAAAAAATCTGTTAAGGCCTTAAAACAAGCCTGTGAAGACAAAGCGGTAGTGGTGGAGAAACTATGGTTCTTTGACCAAGTTAGTCCTGAAAACATGTTTCTCAGTGCTCTTGGCTGTTTTTCATTGGAGCGTGTGAGTTTTAAATAGTAAGGAATTCAAGTAATTGCAGGAAGTGTGTTTGGGGTGGTGGTGGTGGGGGTCAGCATTAGTGAATGGAGAACAAGTTCACAGTTTGGGTCTTGGGCCATTAGAGGAAGGGAGGAAGGGAGGAAGGCGAGTGTGTGTGTGATCCCAGAATCAGGCTTGTGTGGCGGACTTGCGGAGCAGCGACTTCAGAGAGTTCATGAATGGAAGTCACAGAGAGACCAGCAACTGCAGCCACCTCCAGACATTTCTTAAAGGTTGTGTGCTTTTCCAGGGTATGATGGTAGCAGTTTGATTCTCTTGCTTTTATTTTAATTTCCATAATTGGTAGCTTCAGAAATGGCTTTGGAAGGCAATTTGCTTTAAATGTAGCCACCTATTCCAAAATGCCCTGGTTATTTTAGGAACCCTACCCTTTTCCTCCGGAGCCCTCTCGCTGGAGTTCTTCTTTTGGACGGGTCCAGGAGGTAGGGTCCTTCCTCAGTCGACTCCTGCAGAGGTCACATTTTGTGTGCGGGTTTGTCCCCAGCGTTTGTGAGTAGCATATGCATGTGGTTGTGCTGACTGCACTCGCAGGCTTGTAAATTTTCACCCTGGGAAATTAGCAACAAAGCCCGATCTGTCTCGTGGCTGCTTTGCACTTTCCGAGGGCGGCTGTACTTGACTGAGCTGCAGAACAGGCACACGAGAGCGAGCGAGGGAGCCAGCGAGAGAGGGAGGGAGAGAAGGAAAGAAGAGGGGAGGGGTGGGGGCGAGAGGTAAATAGTCTTAAATCGGAAGGGAGCTGCTTCTCTGTGGTCTTGACAAGCGCTGCCTGGGCTCTGCCGGCTCAGTAATAACTGAGTGACCTTTTCTTTGGCTGTATTATGTCTGGCTGGGAAGGGATTGCATTTTGCAGCTGAGAGCCGGAGCTTCCTTCAGCTCGGCTCCTCGCACGCTGCTGGGGTAAGTTGTCTTGAACCAGGACGGAGAGAGACAGCCTCGGACTGCAGTTGCCTAAAAGGAGGACACCTGTGGCTCAGATGCGGTCAACACCATTACTTGGCGGATCCTTGAGGACCTCATTATTTTAAACTTAAAAAAAATAGACATTCCCTCCCCCGTCTTTTTTTTTTTTTTTTCCAAACAATGCTTCTTTTTGACCTTTCCCAAGGAGAAGCGCTACAAAGCAGCCACTGTGCTTACTGAACGGCCTCCCCCTGTATCGCTTAATTGAGAAGGTAAGTGCAGCAACTGTGTACACACGCGTCGGCTTATTTGTGGTGTGTGTGTCTGCGGGTGCGCGCGTGCGTGTGCGGATGTGGGTATTTTTTTCTTCCCCAGCCTCTGCTAATGAGGCATAAACTGGAGCTGCAACCCAGCTCCGCACTGCAACTTTCACTCGGGCTGCAGCTCTACTGAGACGGTTTTGTTTAAATCATGTGAGGCTTCATTATTTTTATGATGAGACATGAAATAGATGCAGGCGGAAGATGTTGATGGAAGGAGGGAGAGCGGCTGCGGCGCGGAACGTCTCAAGTACGACTCGAGTGGATAATAGTCAAAGTTCACCATGAACTGCAGTATTTCCACACCCCTGACTCCCGGGGAGAGAGGGGCAGGGAGAGTTTGGAATTAGGAAGTGTTTGCTCCCAGCCCATAGGAAAAGAATTCAGTCCTGGGTGGGTTTCCGGACCCCTCCCCCTTACTTGCTGGAATTCATGACCCCCCACTTCATAAAGAGTTGAAATTACAATCTTTTGGTCCTTGTTGACACTTCTGCCTCTCTCCACGCAGCCATAATAACAAAATGTTGTTCCTTTGCCATGGAAAAGTGGCTGTGTGTGGGGATGGGGGCGGCGGGGGGCGGGGGCGGGTAGGGGCAGAAGTAGCCAGAACAGGGAAGGTCCCTGGACCAAGGTGCCTATGTCCTAATAGGTTGAGATTCAAACTGATGCAGCACATTTTTTACGGGGACTACCCAGATTGCTGTTATGAAATACAAGTCAGATTTATGATCTTTTTCATATTGAACATGATATGCTATGCTAACGCTGCATGTGACAGTTTAATCAAATCCATTTGTTACCAGGAAGCTAAAAGGGGCCGCTGGGATTTTAGGATTACGGGCAGAGTTAGGGAAGCATGTGGCTTTGTCATTCGCCATCATTTTGCACACTGCGAGGGGCTCCGTGTGTGCGCCCTGTCTTGTCTGGCCGTCCTCATCCCTTCCCCCACCCCCTGCCGCCAATCCGACCCGCTCCCAAAGTGGCTTCACAATAGTCGGTCCTCGGCGGTGTAGGCTGCGCACCAGGTCCACACTTAAGCGAAATCAAGGAGACCCCCTTCTACTTCTACCTTTGGGCTTGGTGCTCAATGCGAAGCTGCTGCAACTCAGGCACGCCTAAGTCAACTCATGCAGAAAAAGGAGAAAAGTTTTGGTAAGGTTACAATCTATCATAGATGCACTTTGCCGGCGCTCTGCACTCTTGGCTGCTCAAAAGCCTTTCTGCTCTTCCGCTGCTTTTGTGTCTTTCTGAAAGAACCGAAATATTATTGTTGTAACTGCTTTGAAAGACTGCTGCTTAAACCAATTAATCTTGCTAGATGCAACAAATACTGCTACATTCTTTGCAAACCATCCCTGTGTGGCTGCAAAGACACAACCACAAAAGGCTGGAGCGTAAACTCCGCAAGGGATTCTTTGTTAGAGTGTATGTATGTTTCTTATTTTTTTTTTTTTTTTATTTTGCATGTGAGCTGCATCAAAATTGAACTCAGTCTTGCAAATCTCTTGTTGGCCTTTGCCAAGCACTAGCACTTTGCTGCCATGGTAACTGTAATTAAACTGATAAGAGTGGAAAAATGTCAGTATCTCTGAGCCTTGCAGCTGCATTGGAGAAAAAGGGAATCAAATTGGTTCCCAGCTCCATTGCTCAAAAAGGGGAGGGGGGGGTGAAGGGTAGGGAGGGGGGCTGGGAGTTGAAGGGGCAGAACAGAGTTAAGCAGCTCCAGTGCCTGAGATCTGGGGACATCTATTTGCATTGTTGTCCCTTAGGGGGCTGCAGCCTGTAGGGATGCTCTGGGCCAGTGAACAGAGAGAAACAAGCTTTTAGGCCCAATCCAGTTTTCCAACCTGTGTTGGGGGCTGGGAAGAGGATGAAGATGGGCAGGAGGAAAATCTTTTGTCTGTTGCCTCTTGGCAATCGAATGGCCATGTTGGCCAAATTCTTTTAATCTGTGTCAATGCTCCCAGCTGCAGAACCTGCATTCCCATTTTAGCATCTTTCTGAAGCACCTCATCTCCTCCAATCCCCTTTATGTATTCCCTCTTCCTCTTTCCTCTCCCAAATTGTTCTCTGTGAATTTCCCGACAGGGACAAAAATGTTTTCTATTCACTCTGTGTAGTTAGTCCAAAAATGTAAGACTGTGTCTAAGGGCTGCAAATCTTTCATTATTATTATTATTATTTTTTAAACCCCTGTGTGTTGTGCAGTTGTGGTTACTTTGTTGTGTTAACTACTGAAGCTGAGACTGTGCGGATGAATGGCACAGAACAAGGGAACATAATGGAGGCAATCAACCGTTAGGCCGCCTCACAATGCAATCCAGGCAATTAAAAGCTCACCAGAGTTTAAATGAAATGGTTCTACTTATTTCTGCACACCACACTGCACAGGCTATTATTTATGTCTTTTTTTTAATTATGATTTCCCTTAAACTGTCAAATAACTCAGAATGGCAGGGTCTCAGAGGCAATAAGAATTTCCCTCAGAACAATTTACATGCCAATCTAAAACTAGTTATGAGTTCTGATGTGCTATGAGCAACTTGTGAAATGTTTCTTAGCTAAGAACACATAACTCTACCCAGACATGTTCTTCTGGAAGAAGAGGGGAGGCCGCGGACTGCTTTATGCCTTTTAAGTACACGGTAACATGGTGACTACAAAATAGTTCTTTCGCTACAATTGTTAACTTGCATGGAATTCAAGGGATTCCATTTTCAAGAGAAATGCCATGATGTTCTCTAAAAGAAGGTACCAGGGTGGAGTGTAAAATATCAAACTCCTTTTATGCCTAAGGCCAAACAGAATGTAAGAGTTTCAAATATTAATTGGCCTCTGAGTGCTAAATTAAAATGTCAACACAACAAAAACATTTTGTGAAGACAAGTAGGGTAGTGTTACTTGTGCCAAATGTTGGTATCCCCTGTCTTGGTTGCAAAGCATTTTGAATAAAATAACTGACCTTGTATGCTTGATGGTAGAAACACAACTATGGGAAATATAGCTTAGCTGCTACTAAGAAGGTTTTGCTGGGATTTTTTTTTTTTTTTGATTTTTCATCTTTGAGACTTGTGATAAATAAAAATAATAGCCTTATAAATTTAATAGAATGGCCATTAATTAGGATGGCTTAATTAGAATGGCTTCTCTTAATATTTATTATCTAGATGTTTTCAGTAACACCATCCAGAATTTCACTGAGTAAATCAAAACTTCCCCCTCCCCACAGATACATGGTTAATAGGCACTTGGGTCTGTTGTTCACTGTAATTAATGTGATTCATTCCTTGTGGAACCTTGCTAGAAGAGGATAACTAGTTCTGATCAAAGAAACTTCATTTGTTAGAAGTTCTAGAGAGTGAGATTTAGCAGAGCTATCAAGGGTTATGATTAATCTGCACTAGGCCCTTAGCTCCTTCAAAGGAAAGGCACAGAAAGCAGGCTATAGGGATACCACCTGCTCTTCTTACAAATCCAGCTGTTAGTCTGCAGCTCCGGTGACTACAGCTATGCTTATGATGCAGAAAGAAAGAACAGCTACTCTGCTTTATATCCTGCCATTCCCTACCCAACTCTACCAGACAAGTTATTTTCTAATGAAAGTTCAACATCCTAACAATATTTTGTGCAACTCATGTATTATTTGTAGTTAGAAAAGTTATTCTGCTCTGCGGATGCCTTGATGTCTCTCACCAGTGCGATTATTTTTTTAAAAAAAAGGTTGTGAAGGTTGTGAGGGGGGTGAAGACTTCATCATCAGGTATCAGAGGAACCTGGAGGAGGTTTAGCTGTTCGGGAGAAGGAAAATGCACAAAAATGCAGATTCTAGCTTGGCATTTCTTTTCCTATAATGCATGCACATTTTGGTGTTTTGTATCCTTCTAAATGCAAGTTTAAAACTTTATGCCTAGGAGAGCAAACATAATGCAGCAGAGGGGTCTCTGGACTGCAAGAAGGCCATTTGGCCAGAGACTATAGCGTAACTGTCTTTCAGCTTTGAGCAAGTATCTGAACCTCTCTTGGGCCTCTGTAACATAATTTGTAAAATGAGGGAATTTGGAATTGATGATGTCTGCAGTACTTTATAGTGCTTAAAATGAGTTACTTGATAAATATGAGGCACTGGATAGTTGGTCCAGCTTCTTGCTAAAGCTGGGTGTTTAATACCTAGGAAATAAGAAGACACTCAAGGTGAATATCCATTCATTCAAAAGATTTCAATCAAACTGTAAAACCCATAGAATCCAGCTGGATTCCTTATTTATGATAGATTTATATCTTTAAAATATATAAATGTGCCTATGTTTAGCATTGTATACATATAATATGTATATATTTATATATGTATAATTGTATATATATTTAGATCTGGCCATCTATTGTTTTTTCTTTATCAAACAAATAATTTTGTATGTTTATGGTAATAAATGGTATAATCATATATTTTAGGTTTACATAAAGCCATAGAGTATATAGTTAAGTAATCTGCCGTTAATATAGGTGCTGACTGATGCTTGTGAGTATAAATATTATATTTGAACACAATGAATACTTTGAAATATCAAGGACATAGAAGGAAGTATTTGGAAGCAAGCAAGCAATACAGGATTGGTGAGCTTTTCGGGTAGCTGTTCTGTGTACTTAACTATAAACACCTCTACTGCTGAATAAGGTTAGTGTAATCCCATACCAGGTGCACTCTCCTTCCACCGTCAAGCACATATTAAGTGAAATTTTTAAACAGTTAAGCAAAACTCATATTTTTACTTCTATGGACTGTGCATAGATTAATTTGTTAAATAACTTTCTTTCAGATCGTCATTTACTCACATTTTCTTTCTAAAGGAACTGCTCTATGGGGAGAATGAAGATACTATAAAATTATTTAATGTTCTTGAACTTCATATTTATAATGTCAATTTACTATGATAACATGAATTTATTATTACCACTTGGCATGCATAACTTTATGAATGATTTAATAAGCACTTGATAAAGTTTGAGACTTTTTGCTTCCAAAATCTAGTTTGATTTCAGTATAGCCCTAAACAAGAAAAGCTAGCACTCCTAGAATAAGGAAATATTAAATATTTAACTTGTTTGAGGTCTTTTGACATCTTTTTATTCGTCTAGTAGTCTCAGCTCTCTTTTTTGCTTTTGTCTTCCTTCAGGTATACAAATGCTCTCAGTCCAGCCAGACACCAAGCCGAAAGGTTGTGCTGGCTGCAACCGAAAGATCAAGGACCGGTATCTTCTAAAGGCACTGGACAAATACTGGCATGAAGACTGCCTGAAGTGTGCCTGCTGTGACTGTCGCTTGGGAGAGGTGGGCTCCACCCTGTACACTAAAGCTAATCTTATCCTTTGTCGCAGAGACTATCTGAGGTAGGAATTATCCTTGCACACCAGTGGTGACTGGATGCCTTTTAAAGTACTTTTGTAAGTGTATTTTTTGTTTGCTTGTTTCATTTCCTTACTGCCGGCTTATATTCCTAAAAGAAGTTGACCTGTCAGCCTTCAAAGCATTGCCCTGTGTGTGTTACTCAAATTAATGCTTAAGGAACAGCCAACAAACCACAATATTTAAAGTATTTCAATTTGGCTTGCCTGCACACTCAGGCAATTGGTTATGGCACTGCCTATATTGAAACTGCCAGTTAATGTCAAGGATGTATTTGGTAGAAATCAGCATTCAGGTTGATTTATTTATTTTTGCCTTTTTTTTTTTTTTTTTTTTTGGAGCTTAAGGAGGAATGGTGCTGAGCATAGCACAAAGATATTAATCAGCCATTTGGCAAAATATCTTAACTCTTTATTTTTAAAAAGTTCAAGTTGAAAAAAAAATGGACTGTATAAGAGTTTAATTGATGCTTCTTAGTTGGACCTGAATTTATTCTTCTAAAGTTACTCAGCTCTCTTTTCTGTTTCAGGCTTGTCAGAGGAAGTCAGGTGCATGTCCTTGACTAATATTTATTAATGCATTTATTGTAGAGTTTTGAAAACTTTCCCCAAGTGTAAATACATCTTCCCCCCGCCCCACCCCATGACATTCTAAACGATAATCTCAAAAATACAACTAAGCAATTGAAGTGCCTCAGACTTGCCAGTAGTTTTATGGATAATAACAAAGTAAAGACCTCCATCATTATGGGAAAATGACAGCCACTCTCCAACCTGTAAACATCTGAACGCTTTCAGGACAAGGCAGGTGTTCTTGGTTATGAAGCTATGAAGCCGACTAAAGTTTTTGTTTTCTAGCATTAAGTACTCAACACAGAACTTCTGCTGAGGAAAAATTATTTTGCTTTTCAGACAACTTTGCGACTTACTTCAGCTGAAAATTACTTATATTAATAAAGCAGGATCTATCAAATTAGAGAAATGATATATGGCATCATTGGGGTTTTCATATTTAATACAATTAATCATTTTTCTGGTTTGACGTTAAGCGATTTATTTGGAATTTTTCCCTTATGACAAAATGTATCAATCAACGGTAACTCCTTTAGTACCTTGGTCTTTTGGTAGGTGTTTTCTAGGCAATCTGGTCCTTCTTAGTATATAATTCAGCTATTTTCAGTCAGATCCAATCTTTAGATATAAAAATATATCATTTGATTAATGATAGTTACAAGAGGGTGAAAGCAGTACTGTTTATCAGATTCTACTCTTTCTCGCTCTTAGGACGGCCTCGTCTGACAGCCTCCTGACTAATTATGACCACTTGTTACTACTTCTCTGTGTTCCAAGTGCGTAAAACACATGCAAGGTGCCAACAATGAGAAGTCACTCTCTCCAGCCAGGATTTCCCTCATTGTGTTGGCACAACTAATCAAAATTAATGTATAATGTTCATTCTTTTAGAACTCTCCAGTCTTTGAACTCTTCTCTTTGAAATAAAAATTTCTCTTCTGCTCGTTGTGAATTAGAGCCTCATTTCCACATAAAGCATTTGTATTTGCTTTTAGTGATTTAATACTGCTTTTTAGTTTGCTTCATTGGTACTAACCAATAGTCATAGCTTTTTGACTCCTTTTGACTTTTACATTTGTAATTTCAGTATCTCAAGTGGATTTATGTTACCATTTCAAATAAGGAATTTATATAGCCCAGGCAATGTTAAGCTTTTTTAATAAACCAAAGGACAAAACTTAAGTAAACTGGAAAGAATGTCCACTGAAATATCTGGGGTTTTTGAAAACCAAAAATAAAAATTTGCCAAGGAAATACCTATATTGTGAGTATAACATGCTTTGTAGCTGTCAGCATGGTATTGAGCAGAGACAGTAATCTTAGACTTGTTTTGTTTTATTTTTCCTTGTGGTAGTAAAAATGTATGATTTTAAACTGGTATTTAATAGTCTCAAGTGTTTTGCTAAAATGCATTTATCAAAAATAGTTTTCATATCAGAAGTTTTTATATCTCTATAAGAGTGAGTGTATGTGGCTTTTTGTAGAATAACTTTTAGTTACCCTCTGATAGGCTCAAACTTTTAATGCTAGTTAACTTATTAAACGTATATAATATTATTTCAAATATAAACTCTGGTCCTGATTGCCAATATATTCATTTCTCAGAGTACAATTTCCTCTTAAATTGGTCATTACCACATTAATGGCCAGTTGTTATGTTAACAGCCTAAGGGTTGTTAACATTTCAAACTAAGTTGTTAACAGCAATCTTATCCCTTATTTAAACTGAAGGTTTGTTGTATATAATGTGACTTATTTGGCAACTTCATCAACACTTAAAATTGCAGAAGTGAAATGGAGAATTGGTGTGTGTAAAACACTGTGTTACGTGTTATAGATTATGCCGCAGATGTGGTATTTAGTTTTATGTGGAAAGCATGTGTCTCAGTGAAATTGTGTAGATGTTCAACAGCATATGTCTCTGACTGGCAAATTAAAATAGTCTGATTCTGTATGTTAAATCAACAAATACAGTCAAGCAGATTTTATTTACAAATTAATTTCTTTGATTATGTATAAATAGTTGTCCAAAAATGTTTATTAAATGCTTACTGTATGAGAGGCATGATTTCAGGCAATGGGTGAAATTAGCTAAAGGGAAAAGGGAGGTACACCTAAAATTCTTCCTATCTATTTATTTAATTACATAGAATCTGTAATATAATCAGTGAACAAGTAATATTCTGTGGTTAGTTTCCTGAGCTTTAAAAGTAATTTTTCTCATTTTCCTCCAAATTCAGCATACTTTAAGTTCTATTTTAAAAGTTGTTTTATTTTTGGCCCTTGGATATTATGTAATTTCTCTGAGGCACGAAACTGAACATAAATAGCTTACGTATTTATATTTCATGTCTAAATTATTAAGAACATAAGTAAGAATAAGGAAAGTAATAAAATAGTAATTTGCCTGTCCACATAAATTGTTGGTTACAAGTATTGTCCTGGGCCAGATAATTTTTTACATACAGTGAAAAGTAAAATATTTTTGCCAATTACATCTAGCTTCTTAATACACTTCTCCCTCCATAAACAGAAAGAAACATTTCTAATTATGAGCAGTGAGTCTTAAAGATTTGTGTTTTATTTGTGTTACTTGGAGTAGTGATAATGATGATGTGACTTGTAAGTTCTTTGAATGATGATTTGAGATATTAAATAATATGAAAATATAACAATTTAGACTGTAAGATATTTTCTTAAGGGTTATAGAAACTATTATTATGGAAAATTTGATGTCTTTCCATTTATTTCTCCTTTATGGCACCAGTAGCTATATTTAAGAGAAAAAGAAAGAAAAATCTTCCACGGTTTGTACACTAAGTATCAAATCTTAACAGTGGAATTTTTTTCACTTTCCAGAACTGGGCTGGCATATCATTCATTTAGCTGTGGAACATAAAATGTACATATCTGATGAGGCAGAATTTGCCCATTTGTGGGATTGCTTTCCTCCTTTGGAAACTCATTAGCTAAAGAAAGAGAAGGACTGACTTTTTAAAACTTCCTCAAACATGTTTCTGACTGAAATTATGAAGTCTACCCAGTCAATATTTATATGCCAGGCAGAACAAGAAATGTATCTGTTAAAAATCTATCCAATGCATTTATAATTATTTTTATTTTTTAAAGATTAACTTACAACAAATTAGATATGGAAGTGTCTTTGTACTTCAAGTTGGAGCTTAAAATTGATACTGTCTAAAGTAGATTAAAAATGACTGTGTAAAAATAGCAAAGTTTTAGTGATGATGTTTAAGGACTCTTATCACTGTGATCTATCAGCCTTATTTCAGTTTGAAAAATAGGAATAAAGTAGCCAGCCAATACATAATCAGCATTTTAGAATTAGGAATTCTACATGCTTTTATTTAATGTTTTGCAGCAAGCATTAAATACAACTAGGAGAAATACCAAAATACTTTCTTTTTCAACTTGAAGGCAATAAAGGATGTCAGAGTGTAACCAGAATTCAACTTCTGGGCAATTTTTTGTTGTTCTTTCTTTGAACCTGCAACTTTTTGTGACATGCTTTAAGCATTAAGTTGATGTAGGCTGTATGTGTCTTGTATCTCTATGAATGATATCTTGCCAGAGTTTATTCAAAGCTGTTTGCTGTGGTATGTGCCATGGAAGCTGCTTATAGCTTTTCCTATATAAGAAGCTGTAAAATGTCTTATATAAAATTTAATGCAATTTGCTATTTTTATATGTGAGGATGATTTGTTTAAAATGAAACTACTGGGAAAGAGTGATGCTTCATGCTTCACCATAGTTGCTAATTAACTAAAATGATTTGAAGCTTGCTATGCTGACTACAAATTTTATATGCTTTAATATAATAATATAATAACTCTAAAAGAGAAAATAAAAATAAAATGCCACATAGAGTGTAAATCTAGCTGTAACTTTATCTCACACTGATCAAACCTAGTGCTTCTAAATTTTTATGTAAGGTCAACTTTAAATTGGTACATAATTATAAGTGTGAAGGTAAATAGGAATATGTTGTTAATATTGTTTTATCTGGCAATTTATAAAACAGATGCTTTTTTAATGTTGGAAACAATATTCATTCTTTTTCCTTTCATTGTCATCTTTTTAATATTAATCATTTGGAAGTATTTTTGCAGGAAAGCAATGTATTCTTATTTGAAAAATCACTTTTTACTGTTCTAAATTCTGAAAGCATAAGCTTTTATATCAAATGGAATTCTACAAATAAGTTTTATTTCTGTAAGCTTCATTTGAGCTTTTAAACCCTATATTATTGTTATAATTTTTATCATATTTAGATGTCTAAGTTAATTTTAGTATTATGAAGTATTTTCACATATGAGCATATTGAACTCCATATCTGTTAAAAAATACTGTTATATTGCTTATAAATTATCTTATTTGCAGCTTTATAAAAA